CTGTGTAAAAGACAGTAGATCGTTATTTAATGTATCTAATTCACTTTGAAATTTACTAATCTTTTCCATTTGTGTGTGCTGGCTTTCTCTCAACTGTTGGAGTCTTTCTTCCTGTTTCTTTTCTTGTTCCAGTTGCCACTAGTGCTGGTTTTTCTGCCACTGCTGACGTCTCTCCTCTTGTTTAGTTTCTTTCTCTTACAACCACTGCTGTAGTCTCTTTCTTGTTTATTTTCTTTCTCCTCCAACCACTGCTGTAGCCTCTCTGGTTGTTTCTTTTCTTTCTCCTACAACCAAGGCTGTAGTCTCTCTTCTTGTTTATTTCCTCGTTCTTCTTGTTTCTTTTCTTTTTCCTCCAACAACTGTTGTAATCTCTCTTCTTGCTTATTTTGGCGTTCGAGCTACCACTGTTGCAGGTTTTCTTGCCACTGCTGTTGTTTCTTTTTTTGTTTCTTTTCTTTTTCCTCCAACAACTGCTATAATCTACGTTCTTTTCTCGTTCTTTTTTTGCTGTTCTTGTATTGCTGCCATCAAATCTGCTAAGCTGTTGTTTGATTTGCCACCTATTGTTTCCATCTTCTTTTTTTTTTCTTTTCGGTTCCACTCTCTGACACCCATTCTGTTGCGTATCTGCTTGTTTGTTAATTTCCCGTAGAAATTCTTTCCGAGGAACTTCAGCGATACAAGAACCTTCTTGATTAAACCAGTTTATTTTTTCTCGATACAAACTTTTAGTACACGGTAATTCCACAGTCAATACTTTTCTCGTCTCTTTAAACTTAACAACTTTTATAATATATGCTATAAATCATAGCGATTCACAACGTCGATAACTTCGCTCTCTACAAGTGCAAAACACACACTTTATGTCTCACTAGCTCGAAACTAACTGAATCATAAATTACACAGAACTCACCGTAACTGGCTGTTCCCTGCCAGGCTTATATACTAACAAAGAGGCATCTCCAACATTCGCGGAGTTCCCCTATTATTCTAGAAATTCACCACGCATGCTCCCAGCGTCACGTGACTTCCGCTGTCGTAACAGTATGGTACAAAAGTTCTACTGTTCAATTTTGTGGTGGATACTGTTGAATAGCTATTCTCTCTCTATCAGTTTAAACAATTAGAGATGGCTAGCAAAGATAAATCTTGGGTAGGCTTACGTGAATGAATAAAACAAATGAAAGCACTAATACAGCTCATCTATCACGTTTAATGTCAACTTGTGTTATAGTGATTATACACTGTTAACACAAAAATAAATTACAACGTTTGAGGAACATTATACACTGTTAATATTAAAATAAATTACAACGTTTAAAGAACATTGTACACTGTTAACACTAAAATAAATTACAACGTTTAAGGAATATTATACACTGTTAACACTAAAATAAATTACAACGTTTAAGGAACATTATTAGTTTTACCAACAAATTCTACACAAAATGTAGTATGTATTGACCTTTAAAACATGATATACAGTAATAAATAAAAGCTATTAAAATGTTCCAAAAACACGAAGGTCATCATTAATGTAAGCCTACTAACGTACCAAAAACACGAAGGTTAACATTGTGATTCTACTAATGTGCCAAGAACAGGAATGTTATCATTGCGATTCTACTAATGTGCCATGAACACGAATGTTATCATTGAGATTCTACTTATGTACCAAGAACACAAAGGTTATCATTGCGAGTCTACTAATGTACCAAGAACATGGTGGTTAACATTGTGAGTCTATTAATGTGCCAAGAACATGATGGTTAAGATTGTGAATCTACTAACGTGTGAAGAACACGAAATATATCATTGTAAGTATACTAATGTGCCAATAACACTGAGGTTAACATTGTGAGTCTCCTAATGTACCAATAACACAAATGTTATCATTGTAAGTCTACTAACGTGTCAAGAACATGAAAATTATCATTGTAAGTATACTAGTATGCCGAGAACAATAAGGTTAACAGTGTTTTGAGTTTACCAATGTGCCGAGAACCAGAAGGTTAACATTCTAGTAAAAAAAACAAACTTCTATTCTTTCCTTATGTCTCAACTGTTATCTTTCGCTTTATAGTTGTTGCGTTTCAATTTTTCAAAAATTTTGACCAGAAAATTATAATTACACAAAAAGAACATTACCTCCCGCTGTGTTTGTTATGTCTGGATCCGTGGTGTAGTTATTATACATTACCAAATATCCAAGAGGGAAAAAGTTTGACATCGTGTACACTTACCTGGGGAGATGTTGAAGTAATAAAAACAAGACAAGGGCAATCTCATTACGATGGCTAGTTGAAAGAGAAGGTGAGACGTAAACACACTCTGTTGGCTTCCAACTACAGAGTAGAAATCTTCAGCAAGCTTAAAAAACACGTCAATAGGCGTCATAGAAGTGGGGCTTGTCGATGAAGAACTTTTAGGAGTCATACTTTTGAGGAGTATTTGAGCCGAGGTAGTTGTTGGTGAATTAGAAACTTTTCCTTGAATTTCTGTTTTTTGCGTTTCTATTGCAGTTTCTGTTGTTCGTTCCAAAGTTGTCTCTGATGTAGGATGTAGAGATTTGTTAGATCTAAGGATAGTTGAAGGTGAATCTGCAGCTGAGATTAACTCTTTCGTTGTAGTTGTAGATAACTCTTCAATTGTAGTTCCTGCTGTTGTTGTAGGTAACGTTTCAACTGTAGTTCCCGCTCTTGTTGTAGGTCCAACTGTTGTTGTAGATAACTCTGCAGTTCTAGGTTCAATTGTTGTTGTGGATAATTCTTCTATAGTAGACCCAACTGTTTTTGTAGATACCTCTGCAGTTCTAGGTTCAACTGTTTTTGTGGATAATTCTTCTATAGTAGACCCAACTGTTGTTGTAGACAACTCTGCAGTTCTAGGTTCAACTGTTTTTGTAGATAATTCTCCTGTCGTTGGTACAACTGTTGTTGTGGATAACTTTGCTGTCATTGGTCCAACTGTTGTTGTGGATAACTTTACTGTCGTTGGTCCAACTGTTGTTGTGGATAACTCTATTGAAGTTGGTCCAACCGTTGTTGTGGATAACTCTGCAGTTCTAGGTCCAACTGTTGTTGTGGATAACTCTGCAGTTGTAGGTTCAACTGTTGTTGTGGATAATAACTCTGCTGTAGTAGGTCCAATTGTTGTTGTGGATAATTCTTCGTTGGATCTACTACACAGTTGAACCTACAACTGCAGAGTTATACACAACAACAGTTAGACCAACGACAGCAGAGTTATCCAAAACAACAGTTGGGCCAACTTCAGCAGAGATATCCACAACAACAGTTGGACCAACGACAGCAGAGTTATCCAAAACAACAGTTGGGTCTACTACAGAAGAATTATCCACAACAACAACAGAAGAATTATCCACAACAAAGTAGACCCTACTGTTGTTGTGGATAACTCTGCTGTCGTTGTTCCAACTGTTGTTGTGTATAACTCTGCAGTTGTAGGTTCAACTGTTGTTGTGGATAATTCTTCTGTAATAGACCCAACTGTCGTTGTGGATAACTCTGATGTAGTTGGTTCAATTGTTGTTGTGGATAATTCTTCTGTAGTAGATCCACCTGTTGTTGTGAATAATTCTTTTGTAGTAGATCCAACTGTTGTTGTGGATAATTCTTCTGTAGTAGACCCAACTGTTGTTTTGGATAACTCTGCTGTCATTGGTCCAACTGTTGTTGTGGATAACTCTGCTGAAGTTGACCCAACTGTTGTTGTGGATAACTCTGCTGAAGTTGGTCCAACTGTTGTTGTGGATAACTCTGCAGTTGTAGGTTCAACTGTTGTTGTGGATAACTCTGCTGTAGTAGACCCAACTGTTGTTGTGGATAATTCTTCTGTAGTAGACCCAACTGTTGTTGTGGATAACTCTGCAGTTCTACGTTCAACTGTTGTTCTGGATAATTCTTCTGTAGTAGACCCAACTGTTGTTTTGGATAACTCTGCTGTCGTTGGTCCAACTGTTGTTGTGGATAACTCTGCAGTTGTAGGTTCAACTGTTGTTGTGGATAACTCTGCTGTCGTTGGTCCAACTGTTGTTGTGTATAACTCTGCAGTTGTAGGTTCAACTGTTGTTGTGGATAATTCTTCTGTAATAGACCCAACTGTCGTTGTGGATAACTCTGATGTAGTTGGTTCAATTGTTGTTGTGGATAATTCTATTGTCGTTGGTCCAACTGTTGTTGTGGATAACTCTGCAGTTCTACGTTCAACTGTTGTTGTGGATAATTCTTCTGTAGTAGACCCACCTGTTGTTGTGGATAACTCTGCTGTCGTTGGTCCAACTGTTGTTGTGGATAATTCTTCTGTAGTAGACCCAACTGTTGTTTTGGATAACTCTGCTGTCGTTGGTCCAACTGTTGGTGTGGATAATTCTTCTGTAGTAGACCCAACTGTTGTTTTGGATAACTCTGCTGTCGTTGGTTCAATTGTTGTTGTGGATAATTCTTCTGTAGTAGATCCACCTGTTGTTGTGAATAATTCTTTTGTAGTAGATCCAACTGTTGTTGTGGATAATTCTTCTGTAGTAGATCCGCCTGTTGTTGTGGATAATTCTTCTTTAGTAGATCCACTTGTTGTTGTGAATAATTCTTTTGTAGTAGATCCAACTGTTGTTGTGGATAACTCTGCTGTAGTTGGTTCAAGTGTTGTTGAGGATATTT